TGCAATTTTCCGATGGAAATTAGGCGGTGGTCAAAGTTTTATACCTGCTCTCCTGGTCAGTTAACATCTCAAAACACAGAGTTGCATTTTCTAATTATTCACGAGTTAGAGGAAGAATTCCAAACATCATTTAGTATATCAATAGCAGCGGTGATGATGCTGATTTGTTTAAGTATACAATACTTTTGATTTTAATTTAGATTTAAAGCTTTCGTGACTGCAGGGATTCATATTCTTTGTTTACATACTGGCACATCAAAATGTGTTAATTGTAGCAAAAAAAGTACGTAACACATGCATCAACAACGCTGCCTTCTAAACATAAAATGTGTATAATAGGTGACGTTTTGTGCACTGGTCCTTTCTTCACTGCACACAGAGATGCCAGTGTGTTTGAATGGATAAGAGTTGGTGGAGACGTCACTTGATACACAACAGGGCCTGGTGAGAGTTAAACTTTAAAAAAAAACTGTTTCCTGGTTAACAGTGTTTTACACAATACACTTAGTGGTGCATTCCTAGGTTCTGTTCTCATTTCAATAGAATTATAACAAGCATATTGCACTCGGTGATGGATTGTCTGGGCTCAGATCATTTGTTCAATTATAGCAAATGAATGTACCATCCGTCTGGCATCAGTAGCATGTATAACACATTGTGGGAGGTTGACATTTGTCATCCGAGTTAGAGGCTGGATCCTAGCATGGGAATACAGGGGCTCCTCTAATTACGAACATTCGACATACAAACTTTCATAGATACGAACAAACCTGTCCGTATGTCCAGTTGACTGTTCGGACCAAGAGTCGCATGTTCAACTGCCGCGCAATAGGTGGTGGCACCTACATCTGCAGAACATGAAGAACCAGTGGCATCTACAGGAGATTATACAACGTTTAAAAGCATTCCCCGTGTTTAGTGTACATGCCATACGACATGTTTGGAATCGACAGGAGTAAAGTTGGACGTACGAACAAATCGACTTACAAACATACCACTGGAACCTAGTTCGTTCGTAAGTAGGGGAGCCCTGTATGGAATGTCCTCCCATGGCTCAGGGCCACGAACGTGAATTCGCATCGAAACAATTTGATTATAATGCGGTGATATTTAAAGTATTCCTTGTCCGTAATTGGTTATTCCCTTCAAAGGAATACAAATACGTGAATCCCATTAGCGATGCCTTGTGGAGCAGGCCATCCAAGGCACTGCAATGCTGATACTCTTCCAATCGCAAACGTTGAGAGTTGTGCAGGCCATGTAGTTGGAGCAATGTGAGCTCTGTAGCAACTCTCACGGGGTGATTCCCCTGGTAGTTACAGGGATACAGCCTTATAAGCAAACAAATGATGTGGTGCTTACTGCTTTGGCATTGGCGCAGGAGCACAAGTAATAAAAAAGGACATTCATGAATACATAGTGGTCCAAAGTCAGGGCACATGGGGTTTTTACATTTATTTTAACATTGAGATAAAAAGAAACATCTTAATTGTTTGAATGAATTACTATTTTATCGATTATCATTGTTAATATTAAATTTAGCTTATTACTGTGGGGTCACCTCAAATCCGTTGTTTACAAAACTCGACCAAGACTCCTGAATGAATTGAGACAAAAGGCTTGTAATCTTAAACACACAGTCCTCAATTTATCTCAAAATGGAATTCATTCATGCATGGATAAAAATGTGAATTCAGTTTGAACATTCGTCAAGACAAATTAAATAACCCTATGTGATTTGTTTTTAATAAATATAATACAATAACCACGTTTGTCCTGACTTTTTGGCCACCCTGTACAATAGGCAACGCCCCTTCTTCATAGAACAAAGAAAAAACGATGTGCTCAGACATTTTGCACCCCCCCCCCCGCCCCCCCCCCTGGGTGATTCAACGACTTGTTGTAAATCAGGGATGTGATTATTCATATATTTATTATTTTTTATCTGGCCTTGAGCGGCTCGAGGGTCTTGTGAAACCATTCCAAGCAAATAAAAAAACCACATTCTTACACACTCGATACAATGCACGTATTGCGAGCAAACAGATTTGCATGAATCGATGTATTGATGCATCGTAACATTCCTTTTGGATGTTGATCGTACAATTCTGATGTTTGTCATGCAAATCTAATATGTACAATATTTAAAGCATGTACTACACTGTATAATTTGTATGAAAAGGTTATTTTTTTATTTTTCTAACAGCTCTCGACATTGAAATATGGAAACATAACTTTCTAGAGTTATATATATATACACACAGTACCTGGCATTTAGGCACATAACCAAATGCTTGGTGTGAAAAGTAGAATTATGCCCTTGATTCAATGGTGTATTACGGCACATGGAGACAGAGGGCCCTTTAACCCAATCACCCTTTGCTTCACGTCTTCTGGCTGTGACCACATGTGGAGCTTTTTCCAAGAGAAAACGTTCGCGTTATGGAAATTTCAACAGACATAATTCACGCAAACATTCATTCCGAGCTTTACATGGAACCTTGAATTTCAAAAATGATGAAATACTGTGCTTCCATATCGAAACTCATGAATGCCCTTCTGGTGTACATACAGTTTATGACAACGCTTTAAGCTATTTAAACGTTGTTTTAGATATACGGTATCTGACGAAGTATGTGTTTAAATGTGTAACTGACATCGTGCTAATTCTTGTATTTTATTGGGACGGCAGACAATTGGGCTATTGTAAAGGACTTGCCTGATGTCCACATATTCAGGATGAATATTCTTTTCCACGCATGAATCCTCACTGAGTCTCGAGGCTCTTTTTCAGGAGGGTCCTGTCACGTTTTCACCGTAGCCGGCGATGTTACTGCTGTGTGTGTAATCCCGAATGAGTAATTTTAAGGTATTTTTTTCACCATTGGGATGTGTGGCCAATAGCACTGACATAGCATGTGTTGTTTTAGCGATGGGAGGAAACCGGAAACCCTGGAGGAGATCCATGCAGAACAAGGGGAAGAACATACGAATTCCGCACAGAATGTCAGCAATCGAATCCAGGTCCTTCTTCCTGTGAGACTCAAGTGCTACCACTATGCCACATCGCTGCCCAACGATGCCTGACAGAAATAAAACAAAAGGCGAATACATTTTCGGGCAGTCGGGGTTTTAAGGGCACGGAGAGAAAATAATGAATATTGACATTTGGAATAATTTTATACTGCCAAAAAGTTAAAGTGGGATGGTGCTTATCCTCATTAGCTACCCAAAGCCAGTCTCAATTGAACATGCACTTTTGAGTTCCTACAACATCGGGCTCATGTTATTGATCCCAGTTGGATGATGTTCTGAGCCAACCCCTGAGCAGGATTTTAACTCCTTCCGATTGTGAGTTAATCGCTCTACCACAGTCACGCTGCGGTGTTGGGTTCAAATACTTTTTCAAGTAGAGACCTTATTTAAAATGTTTGGCCAATGTCTTCTTAAACAATCAACTCTCTTGCTCAGGAGAAAAAATATTTCCCAAACTTTAGACTGATTTACGTTGCATCCATGATGACAGTTGTAAAGAAAAGATCTCCAAAATCTTGAATAAACACAAGATCCAGGTCCGATTCAACACATTACATAAAATCCGTGATCTGGTTCCATCTGTAAAAGATGTGATTCCGGACATTCAGTACCCTGGCGTCTACAAACTAAGTTGCCTCTGTGGGAGTAGTTACATTGGAGACACCAAACGACATGTCTCGGACCGCATCCGTGAACACAAAGCAGACCTAAAACACGGTAGGACCAACACCTCGGCCGTGGCAGATCACTGTTATAATTCAGTAGGCTCACATGACATTGACTTCTCCAAGACAGAGGTTATTTGCAAGCCATCTGGCTACCATGAGAGATTCGTTCATGAGGCTATCCACATATACAAACACAGAGACAATTTCAACCGAGAAGATGGATTCTGATTGTTCACGCTTATGGTGGCTTTCAGACCGCATCCACTATTTTCGTCTCCCCCCTCCTCTTGTCCGAACATAGATGGACTCGTCCACCTGAATAACTGCCAAATCGCTCTCCGTGGTGCTAATGTAAAAAAAAACGCCACTTTTTTCAAATTTTCTTGCTGTGGTTTTCACACCTGATGATGATTGCTTGTGTTGCAGTCGAAACGTCGTGAGAATTGTATTGTTTTATATTTGTATTATTTTATTGTTTCCCTTATACGTGACTTTTACCGAAAGAACCAATAATATGAATCCCTGCAGTCACGAAAGCTTTAAATCAAAAAAGTTGTAAAGAAGTTATGAAAATGTGGGCTTCAAGACGCAACGCGGCATTGATGGGAAATAAATAATAATTTTAATGAAGCTATCTGGCTGGGTGGTTTGAAAGTACTCGTCTTCCCACCGGAAGGTCCCGAGATTAATTCCCAGTGGCGAGGGGCTGGGGTGTACTCGGCTCTTTATCCTTCTGGGGGTCCACAAAATCAGTACCGCTTTGTGAGTAGTTAACATTGGGTCATTGGTTGCCTCATGGTCTTTGCCATGGAAACTCTTGGTCACGAATGCCAATAAAGCTGTGCACAGCCCGCACTGCTCATTCGAGCAGGGCTTGGGTGGGTTGTTCGTACCCCACATTCTATCTTGAGATGCTGCTGTAGTGTGATGGTTATCACGCCGGATTTCTAATCCAAAGGTTGTCGGTAAGATCTCCCGGCGCGGCAGTCGAAAAAACGGTGCACGTTTCTTAAATACCCACCAACTCTGTCCACCCGGCAGCATACATTCATTAGCAGATTCGAAGGTCGCGTGTGGTGGAGTAAAGTGTGGCCTGCATGGAAGAGTAGGCCAAGCGCCCTCTGGATGGAGTCTTGTTAACAAAAACACTGACGCATAAAATGAAACGAAATGCCTCACGATTGGGGGGGGAATGCCCCCTACCAAAAAGGTATGTGCGTTGAACTTCTTTCGCACCGTACGTGGCCAACCGTGCTCATCGGAGGTGCGGCTGCTGTTGCCCCGTCTCTCCCCCAGGTCATACAGCACGACACGGACGGCGCGGAGAGCTACGGCAGGTTCCTGCGCAGCGAGCTGAGCACACTGGGCCAGGCGTTCGGCGACGCGGCCACGTCCCTGCAGGAGCTCGAGTCCAAGCTGCAGGCCCAGAAGGAGGCACTGAGCCACGTGGTGGTGGTGGAGGAGCTCCTGCGCCTGGGCGCCGACTCGACGGATCTGCTCGGCGAGGTGCTGGGCGCGTCGGCGAGCTCGCACGAATCGAGCAGATACGTAGAGTCCTTGGTGCATCTCAACGACGCGCGGCTCACCACCATCTTCCACAAGTACATCGAGGCGTGGCAGGTCCACTACGCCGTCTGACGGGGCGGCCGCGACGCGCTTCGTGGCGACGGGTCGCGCCAGCGCGGTGTCCTTCTCCGAGAGGGATGCGTTTGCCGAGTTTTAGGATGGATCTGGAGAGAGAGAGAGAATTTTTTTTTTTACAAACGAAAATCGGGCCTTGGGTGTGAACATTTTTTTGGGATGGTTCAGATGTTTTTGTTGTTGTTGTTGTTGCGGATTGATCCGAAGGTGCGAAGATGTCGCAGGGAGTGGCGGCGTCAATTGCGCGCTTAGCCCCACGAAAGTAGTGCTTACATTTAAATTATTTCTTCATTGACGGGACTACGTTAAAATTGCGCATTCAATTGTTAATGTTCACAACGATTAAAATGGGTAAAATTTAGTGGTAATTATGAAACTTTTAGAGCTAATTACAGTGATACTGAGTGGAATCCGAATATGGGCCAAAGAAATCTGAAAATGTCTAAGAAAAATTAAATCTGAAACTCATCTCGAGTGTCTATCATGAGCGAACCCTGGCAACGACTCCAAAAAAAAACGCCAACAGATAACATCTTACGGAAAAATATTCAACACGCAAAAATGCCCTTCAGTAATTTTCGAAAAAGACAACTCACGATTGTGTGCGTCGACCGGCGATACAATTTGACGACCGTTACTGAAATAACAACTCGTGCTCACCAGACCAACATCGGTGACGAAGCCACTTTCAGGGCGACTTGTGACCATGTGGCTGCAGTTAGTGATTACATAATCATTATCATAAATAACACAGGGTATTAATGTGTAAAAAAAAACTAAATGTGTTATTTTTTGTTACTAGTTCACGTCTGCTATAGAATTGCAAACATTTTGTCATAATTCACATTGCACTTTTAAAAGTGTTTTTTTTGTAGGTAAAATGTACCTTTTTGTTAAGCCAGCAGGCGTTTTGGATAAAATATAATGTGTGTGGAAAGTGGATTTTCTTTGGGCGAGATTTTTGGTCTATTGCTCATTTTTGTATACATTTTATTTCTCGAGTTATAAGCAGATTGATGGATATAGTACAGAAGAAACCCTCTTATCCTCGACCCTATTAGCTGCAACTCATTATCTGCGGTGGTTGCAGGCTCCGCAAAAATCCTATTATCAATGCCCCTATTTCTTCCTCTTATCCGTGGTTATCCACAATTTTGCCTGCCCTGCGAAGCAAAGTGACTTCCTATTACTCGCGATTTTTCACGGATAAGAGTCGAGCAGCTAATCATTCCCGATTATCCGCAGGGGTTTTCCTAAATTCGTTTTCTTTAAGAGGAGCAAAATTTAGTAATACGTTTTTACCCTTTTATCTGGCACAAAAAAACAACAACCTATTACTATATCTTGTTACTGGCAAAGGAGGTCTCATAATGTAGGAGCAAAATTGCGGATAATCCCGTGAATAATACGATTCGCCGATATTGGCCCTCCATATCACCGTGAATCAGACGAGCTCTCCCGTATGATAATCATTCTCAAAAGTAGACGTGTGTGTGTGTGACTCCGAGTGCTGACCACCACACATGTTGCCTCCAGCCCATTGCCTTTGCCCGTGTATGTGCAACGATGTTTGTTATATTTGGCCGAATTGTTACGACGCTGGTGACATCAATACTTAAACGGAGGCTCCATGTTCCCCAGTGTAAATATATTCTTAACGAGAAGCAGAGTTTTGGGCAGTCTGTGAAGCACACAGCACCAAACGCTACACTAATTTACTTAAGCTCATTTGAAGAAAAAAAATGAGGATTTGTTTTTTTTTATAAGAATGAATCGTATGTGCAGTTAAGTTTACTTGACTGAGAGCTAAGCTGTCCTGGCATTATTTACCCAACGCAAGCAGCTGTTTAAAATTATATATTTAAATGTATTTAATGTTTGTTTAAATGTTGAACGATAGTTCCAATTATTGCGTAGTTCCATTTGCAATAGTTTTCACTTACAGGCTTTCGCTCAAATTGACAGTTTTAAATAAAAAAAAAATTTGAAGGGGCCAGTTGCCAGTTGTATAAGTTGTGTTTTTTTCAAGCACAGAGACATTCATTTTCTTTGGACACAATTATTAGCTAAGTCAGAGAGCGAGTCTTAGACTGCCGTCACAGATGTCATCACAAGTTGCTGTCTCAGCTGCGATGCTCTGAGGGTTGCGAAACAATTTAACTCAATGCAGTGTCATTTTTAAACTGCGGTAAATTCTTGTACATAGAGAGTTGCAATAAATGTATTATTTTAAGTGCTTCAATATATTGGGGTATTTCTAAAACAAATATTTAATGATTGTACACGAGTGCAATTCGTATTAATTTCAATGCAAAATGTAATCGCTCAAAAATCTTGGCAATACTGTTGCTGAAATAACCTCTTCATCAACATGTTGTATGTTTGCAATAACACTCTGTATTATTATATGTACATTTTAATTTACGTTGCAATGCTTTGTCAGTGTTAGTTTTTGAGACGTGTTTTGTTTATATTTTCCGTTGAAATTGTTCAACTTCATTATATACAGAAGGAAATAAAACCCCCAAAACAGATCTGAATGAAATCTACAAATTGATTTAAGTATCGTTTAACAATGAAGTGAGCACACCCTTAAAGAATACAGGGCTGCATTGGTGTATTGGTTAGCATGCTGGACGTTATGCGACCCATGCAGCCACTGGTGGTGATACATTCACCACAATGGAAATACAAATAAATAATTGAATCGGATCTTGTCCACAAATCATGATACTCGATTACATTCGTGGTGTTTTTCGGGGGAGCTGTCGTTATACGTTTAATATTTTTTTTATATTTAGGAATGTAGCTATGGGGTCCCGTTTAGAAGAGTCACATGGACCCATGAATGGCGGCATGGCAAATGGTTGACCTGTACATAGGTTGAGGGGGTGGGTAGCTCCCCATATAGATCTCATTTTTACATTCATGTTTACATTCATAATCTACAAAACGCATTCTTCACAATACACATTCTGTTCTGCAATGTACGAAAACACTCCTTGAAGTCAAAATACATTTGAAACGTTTTCATGATTCGTTCCTAGTTATTCCTATACTGGACCGGAACTAATATGACCTTTTTGACTCGTATATTATTTGTTTGTATTTCTATTTTAAGGTAGGACATTGCATTAATGTTGACTGCATTTCGAAATGTTGATTTTTGTTGTCAATTTCGGCAATATTAAAAGCTACATTTACTTAAGCTTTGTCAAATCCAGTGCTGGATGATGGTCTCTTTGTGCCACGATGGGATACAGAAATCGTTTCACCATACTTCACCACGCTGTTGTTTACCCGTTTGAAAGTCATTTTGTAGTGGTTTGAGTTGGGGGGGGGTCACAGCGGTTTAGATATCATTCCCTACTGATTTTATAAAACCTATACATATAATGAATGGGTAACATTCAAAACGATGTTAAGCTGCATGTGTGTGTGTGTCACTGGTACGGATTCAATTACTTGACATTTGCAAGCTTCAAATCAAGATTTGCATTGCATTTATTATTATTTTTTACAAGAGCCGTGCTTCCATCATCCATGGTCCGTTGCAGATGTAAACACATGGCATGTGTTGTTATTGTAGATGCTATATGAGATTGCCAATCCGATGTATGCAGTGAATGCTCTGAATGTCAAGATTGTAATATTCCAACCCGAAAAAACGACATGATGGTATCATCCCACATTGCATGATGGTATCATCACACAACGTAGTGTGGGTTTTGGGTCCCGTGTTACCCTGTATTGCTTAAAAACGTCCAATTAAATCTTGCTCGAGTAGATTTTAAAGGTTGACAAGGACGAACTTCACACATGGTAGAGTCACGCTGACGTCTGTGAGTTTGGCTGGTTCAGGTTCGCTCTGTTGTCAGTTGAAGGCCATGGATTACCGATGGGGAAGGCTATGATTTTGTCACGGTCATTTTTTGTAAAATAAATAATTTCACAGCAAGGTCATGGGATATGGTGGCACAGTGTCCCACCTATAACTCTGTTTGAACTTTTTCTTCTTCATAAACATAGTTATGTCTTGAGGACATTGCATTAATGTCAACTACATTTAGCGATGTTGAATTTCGTTGTCAAGCCAATGAACTGAAGATACAGTATATAAAAAAAATACCTTTACAAACAATAGCTTTTGCACGAAATAATGTGTGATGGAGTACAACGAAAAGTTTACGTACAATTGTTTTGCAACAAACCAATGCGTGGGAGGTATAACAATTCACCCACCCAAAAGTGGAATGAATCGCAGCGATATAACCATTACATCGATGAAAATAAATGCTTACTTTTACCATACATGCAATTAATTATCGATTTATGAAGGGATCATGTACAATATAATGTGTTATAAGTAATCTGTTTCATGCACGTATTATAACTGTATAAACTTTTTTTTTAATTCATAAATTGTAAAAAAATATCATTCGCACCAATGGATGAAGGCCCCCCCGCCCCCCGCCGCATTGGCGTGTTCATAAATGTTTTTTTTTTATCCATATATCACCCACGCTGGTCAGTGTAGATTGGTGAAGGGGTGGTTAAGCGCCGATTCAGATATCAATCGCTGCTGGTGTTAGCCGTGGCCGTCGGGTTGCTGGCTTCACAGCGAGACGCGCTGACCACGGGACGGATTCTTCTTGCATCGATTAAAAAACAAACGCACGTGGATATCTTGGTGGCCTGTGGCCATACCTGCTTGTTCAAGTATAACAACCAATAGGGCTTCATATTGTTTCACCTACAGAGAGTCGTTTGGGAAGAAAAAAATATTACACAGTGTGTGTTGTATTTTGTGAACAGTTGATCTGTTGAATATTCATACGACCGATTGAAGCTGGTCTCTAAGTACGACGTCTTAAATGAAAACTTTCGTTTGTTTCATGCATTGAGCTTCTTATACGCCGATTAATATGAATAAACAAATGTATAGAAGTGGTTAGAATTGTTTTGTTTTGTTTATTACGCGCGATAGATATATTTTGTATTGCTAAGTATAGCCAAATTCATCCACCACGGCATGCAGCGGGGACATTGGTTCATGTTCAGGTGCTGGGTGGATTGTTAGATAGTAGGACCCTGGGGGGGGGGGGGGGGGGGTGACGACCAGCTGTGGTTATTGCAGCAATTGAACCTCATGGCAGGACACCGGGGTCCCGAATAAACGGAATTCAAAATCGTAATTAGTACATTTATTTTTGGCGACTCCGTCCCACCGCGACGGTGGGACTCCGCGACTCACCTGGCGCGGATCATTCTGTTAAAACATGTAAATGCCTACAGGTGGCACTAGCAGAGCTGCTGACTCACAATCGGAACGCTACTGGTTCAAGTTCTGGTCAGAGGTCAATTCATCCCATCATCGTTCCAGGGTCAGAAAAACAAGTACCCTATTGTGGGTTCATGAAAGTTGTCAACATATGGCTAGTTTGACCAGGAATGTGGAATTTCCAAAGCATGTACCCTCTTCGAATATGTACATATTTATGACAACCGAGATGGTAATTTAGTGGGAATTTACGTAGCTAAATAATGGACATTAATTTTGAAATATTAATAGAAATCCTCATATATGTGTTAATGCGGGGGTTGATATATTATCCATGCATATACATGCATTCCATGCTTATGACATCGTGCAGATAATTGGAAGAGTATATGGATGGAAATGGGTATGGACAATATAAATACTGTACTACATAATTAGAAGGCAGATATTACGAATATCACTGTATATGTTTAATTATATGCTTGCTTATGGCAACATGTTCAGGAGCTGAATGCCATTGTGGAGGTCTGCTAGCCACAAGCAGGCTTCAGGAGAGAGTTTGTATTCCACCATTGGGACCTCCTTTGTCAGTCGCAAAATATAATAGTTTTTTTACCCTTTAATCTGGTCCAACACCATGTGAGACTAGGCTCTAAGGCAGGGGTGGGCAATTTTTTTGACTCGCGGGCCACAATGGGTTCTAAAATTTGACAGAGGGGCCGGGCCAGGAACAGATGGATGGAGTGTTTGTGTGAACTAATATAAATTAAGTGTAAAAATCATTACATGGAAGGATTTGGCTTTTAACAGGTAGCAAAGCATTAATTTGCAAGGCAATTTAACAAATTGCACGAACATGAACAATACACAAACATGTAGTCACGTGACTGATCAAACATCATGAAAACATCTGAGGCATGCGCCCAAACCAATTACCTCACTTGACCTTCTTTATTCTCTACATTAACAGGTTAGAACAGCCATGCAGGCTGTGTGTCGGAGATTTGGCTCCAACCTCGCTGCAGCAACACATCATCACTTTCAGTTTCAGTGGGAAGAAGTGTTGCTGATCTCCCATTTTTGCCAGTGCATCCAAGTCTGGAGTTATTTTGGTTGTGGCAATTCTCAGGATAGATCTGAGGCGCTGGTCCGTTAACTTTGATCTGTGACGGTCTTTGTTGGCGTTCATGACGCTGAATGTCTGCTCACACACATAAGTCGGGCCAAACAAAGTCAGCATCTTCTGTGCAGTCCTCCGGAAGTTTGGAAACGTGGCTCTGTTAAGTGAAGCATAAAAGTCATTCAGTTTTTACAGAGCTGAACTTCTCCTTTAGGACGGAGTCAGACTGAAGATCTATCAGTTCCAACTGCAGCTCCTGTGGTGCTGTTTCAGAGTCTTGTGACAGGGGACAGGACACCAGCTGAAGTGACTGTTCAATGTTTTCGAAATCAGAGAACCTACGGCAGAATTCTCCATGCAGGTCCTCAAGTGATTTGCTGTATTTTTTGCGTTTTGCGGTGCCTCTTCCTGCATGGCAAGTGTGGGGAAATGAGCGAAAGATTTGTTCGCAATTTGTCTGGAGAACAAAGTGAGCTTGGATTTGAAGGCTTTCACATGTTTGTACATGTCGTGAACAAACTGATCTTTCCCCTGCAGTTTCACATTCAGCTCATTCATGTGTGAAAATATGTCCACAGCAAACGCAAAGTTACTAAGCCAGTTCTTGTCGCTTAGCTCAGGGAATTCGTCAGATTTCTCCATCAACTTCAAAAATGCGATGATGTCGTCTTTCAGCTCCCACAGTCGTTGTAACACTTTCTCCAAACTTAACTAGCGGACACGAGAGTGGTACAGCAAGTCCTGATGATCCGCATCAGTTTCCTCCAGGGACATAATAAACTGACGGTGCTGAAGTCCCCTTGCTCATGTAAAGTTTGTTTTATTTTATCTACGTGACTTTACCGAATAAAACCAAAGAGTATGAATCCTTGCAGTCACGAAAGCTTCAAATCTAGAATGAATAACCTCTACGGGGAGGATTTCCACCTTTCTGTTAGAACTTTAAACAGACAACGAGATAAAAAGTCACAGCTCATCGAGACGCTGACCTTCCTCAAAAGATGCCGCAACAACAAGGTAATACCCATCGCTTTCACACACATCTACTGCTGTATCTTCACCGACCTCTAAACAGATCCTGCTTAAGGCTAGTCTAGCTTTAATCTCAGAGAGGATAAGGTTACTCCGATTTGAACTCGATAATTTAGACAGGACTCTCCTACAATCTCATTTCATGTTAACACAAAAAATGTCACCTTCTGATTGGAACCACGTTGACAACATGACTGCTGCCTCTGCTGATTCACTGTCAGTCAAATACAAAGCTAACCTCATCTCTAAATTCAACCACCTTTCAAAGAATAACCCAGGACCACATATCACAAAACTAGACGTTAACAAAATCGTTATTAATCAGAGTAGCACCCTGATTTCGGACAATCTGAAAACAGTACTGACTAAATTTCGCTGTCACCCCAAAACATATACCAGTAGAGGATATCATCTCTCAGGTCGATGTAGCCCTCAAAGGCTTAGGACACATCCAAGCGGACGGTGCGAGAGCTGAAATAGCCACTATTCTTAAGAATGCTAAGAAACCCATTAGCAACATTAGCAAAAATGAACGCTCTGAACTTGCGAGTTTAAAAAAGAAAGATGATGTAGTCATCCTCTCGGCTGACAAAGGCAATGCTACTGTAATTACGGATAAAAACTCATACAACAACAAAATCCACGACCTACTCAATGATGGGAGTTATTTAAAAATAAAAATGATCCTACTAACACCCTAACGATAAAAACTAACAAGATCATCACAAGTTCGACTTCCCTAATTGAACCAACCAAACGTCCCCCTCTAAAACCCTCCACTGCAAGACCTCCCAGATTCTATGGTCTTCCCAAGATCCAAATAGAAGGTACCCCACTACGACCCATCGTGTCCACTATCAACTCACCTACATACAAGCTAGCCCGTTTTCTGCCAGATACTCTGCTTCCCTTCACTGGCAAGACCAGCTCAGCAGTACTCAACTCAACCCAATTGGTCTCTATGGTTAAGGACATTGTACTGTCTCCTGACGATATACTCGTCAGCTTTGATGTGGTCTCTCTGTTCACCAAGGTCCCAGTACCTGATACCATCACAATAATCGAAGATTTAGTCCAACATGGACTTAACCCCTTGATGTACCAGCTTTGGTTAAGCACTGCCTCACCAACACCTACTTTACTTGGAATGGTACCTTCTACAAACAAAATGAGGGTACCCCCATGGGTTCACCCTTATCACGAGTGATAGCCAATGTTTTAATGGAGAAATTTGAATCAGACGCCATCCAGACATCCACCCTCAGCCCTTCCCTGTGGAAGAGATATGTGGATGACACTTTCGTCATTTGGCCACATGGCCTCCCAGCTTTGAACCTTTTCCTAGACCACATCAATTCCAGACACCCTTCCATTAAATTCACCATGGAAGTGGAGAAAGATGGCAAGCTCCCATTCTTGGATGTCCTGTTTGAAAGAAGGCCTGATGGCTCTTTGGGACATTCTGTTTACAGGAAGCCCACCCACACAGATTCCTACTTGAAACCTGATTCCCACCACCACCCGACTCAGAAGAATTATCTCATCAAAACGTTAATCCATAGGGCTCATTGTATTTCTGACAAACACCACCTGACTAGTGAATTACAACATGTACATCTGACCCTCAAGATGAACGGCTACTCTGACCGTACCATCCGCCAAGCTGTTTCTCCCACCACACAGAAACAACCACTTGATACTCCGATCAAAATCATCATGTTACCATACATTGCAGGCGTTACTAAAAAGATTTCCAAAATTCTAAACAAACACAAGATCTAGGTCCAGTTCAACACAGTGCACAAAATCCGTGATCTGATCCCGTCAGTAAAGGATGTGATTCCTGACCTACAGTACCCCGGTGTTTACAAATTGAGTTGTACCTGCGGGGACTGCTATATCGGGGAGACGAAGCGACATATCTCTGACCGAATCCGCGAGCACAAATCAGATTTGAAACACGGCAGAACGAATTCTTCTGCCGTAGCTGATCATTGTTACAACGTTGTGGGTAATCATGATATTGTCTTCTCGGACACCAAGGTGCTCTGCAAACCTACAGGCTATTATCAGAGATTTGTCTACGAGGCTATCCAGATTTACAAACATAGACACAACTTCAACCGAGAGGATGGTTTCAAATTGAGTAATCACTGGAAAGATGTTTTAGATCAAGTCAAACGTTAGCTGCCTTTCAATTTTTTGTACAGCCATTCCTCAGTGGTTGTATATCATAGTGCCCTTTGATCGCGTTCACAGAGAGCTCGCATCGGGGAGCCCTTTGATGTGAGCTCACATCGAGGGGCCCTTTGATGTGAGCCCTTTGATGTGAGCTCGCACCGGGGGACCCTTTGGTGTGGGCTCACATCGAGGGGCGCTTTTATGTGAGCTTTGAGAAGTGGGTGTTACCCGCAGCATTCTATCAAAGGGCGGCTTAGCCCAGCCTTCCCTCCCACCCACGCCCCCTTACTGACCCCTCCCCCCTTCCTTAACCTGTATATAATCCAAGGTCGT